TTAAATACATATTAACTTAACTCGAAAAAAACAACAACTTTATTTCTTTGTTTTTAACAGAAATCATATATGCATATTGTAATGATTAAATTGATCAATCTATTCGATCAACAAATCTCTTTTCTAATCAAATAAAGAAATCCCTTAACTATCTTTCGAATTATATTACCATATGATCACAATGATATTAAAGAAATATTAGTTTTTGTTTCTATACTGAATTTTATTTAATCATAAAAATTTAATTCTTGTTTAAATCTTCTTATTCTTAACTATAGTATTATTACTAGGAGCAATTTTTTCATTAAAAAAATTTCATTAATGTAAAAACAAGCCTTCGGTTTATATTAATATAAAAGATTTTCAATATAATACATCTTCGAAAATCTAACATGCAAAGTTCATTAAAGAGATATTTTTCCCTTGTTGATAACAATCCAACAATCCACTTATAAATGCACGATTGATATTGACATTAATGTTCATATTATCAATCAACAAAAGAGAATTTAATCCTCTTTTTCCTTTTTATATAAATTCTAAGAAAGATTAATCTACTCAATTGCAAATCTTTATTGACCTTGAAGTACTCAAATATTTCTTTTTTATCAAAACAATCTTGATTTTAAAATAGAATAGGGGAAGTCAACTGATCCTTTTAAAACGAATAAAAAGAAAAAAGAACGAGGTAAAATGTTTTTTGTTTAACATAATACATTAATCAATGCATTTTCTTTCTTTTTTATGTTTTCATTTTTTTAAAGAATAACGCACCGATCGAACCGGACGTAGATCATGTTTGTTTTAAATTATAGTCTAACGAGAAGAAGAAGAAAAAAAAAAGTTAGGGAAAAATATAAGTCAACACAAGACAAAAAAAAATTACGGGACGACAAACGACGAGGAGCCATAGAAGAACCAAAAAGAGAAAAAAGAAGAAAAAGAAAGAATGAATGAGTCGTGCAAGTTGTATGTGTGCATGTGTATGACTCGGTTTACAGACGTTATGTGTGCATGCAGAAAACAAGAAGAAAATGACAAGCATGTATACCAACACACATCTGACAGCAAAAAGAAGAAAATGGGAAAGATGGCACGCACAGTGTGATGATCATGTGAACAACAATAACAACATCAAAAAAGCAGAGAACAAACGGATCTAGTAATACAATTGGTATTCGTAATAGAAAGAAGACAAAAAAAGTAAACTAGAAACCGAGGTCTCCTTCAATGGCATTAACATCAAGATCAATAGCTGCAGGATATTTACTACAATTTATTAAACTACTTCGTGTAGCTATACCACTGTTACATCCTGATGAAGATGTTTGACTATGAGATGAACGTTGTTGATTATTTGGTTCACCTGAACCTGTACTAAATCCTGAATCATATGACATATTGGATTCTTCATAGTGAAATATATGACCGGGAGGAACATCAGTAAAATCAACTGGTGAATGAGCTGGAGAATCATAATCGCATCCGCTATCTTCATCATCAGCTCCAATACAGTCTTGATCAGCACGTCTTGTCATCTATAGAAGAAGAAGATGAAAATAAACGGAAATAAAATGAGAATATAACAGACAATCAAAAATCTAGTCACTCAACTTTCTCTGTGTATATATTTTACCAAGCATGCTAATTAGTAGTTTTCAAGTCAGACAATATACATAGTAATTAATCGAACGAAATTTAATACTTTATACAATCTATTTATAATTCTTTTCATTTGTAATAAAAGAAAACAGTAAACAGGTGCAATTGTCAATCATAGTTCTTTTTTTATGTTGTTCAACAGAGCGCTCATACAACTCAATTTATTTATAAGCTTATTTGTTCGCCTGGGGAAAAGAAGGACAAATTTTCTTTTTCTTGATGATCATTTTTCTTAACTTATTCTGGCAGACAGTCTTAATGTTCTCTTTACAAATCATTTGTATATATAAATGACGTACCTTCTTTGGTGAATTGCCATCAAAGCTGTATGTCGACTGAGTCTAAAAAGAAATAACAAAATATGACAAATGACGCGAATCAGTTACATTTCTTTTTTTTCTTTCCCTCTCGGGTACTAATTCAATGAGACAGCAGGAAAGAAACATATGAAATGTCAGTATATTATATTTATATATATATACATGTGATGCAATCTTGCAATTCATCATTATTCATTTTTGGTTTGTTATCTTTCGTAGATTTTTTTGCTTCTTGACTTATCAAATCCAATGAAAACGACAACAAGTAACATTATCGAGAGTGCTCGACAATAATGATTATTACTACTATCACTAATATAACTTTACATATATATATCTATGTATATATATGTTTAAGAAGAGAGAGAGAAAAGAAAAGCTGTCAACTCTTTCACATACTTTACTATAGAGAAAATTTGAATAAAACAATCTATGTATATTTGTTATTGACAAATGATCTGATGATGGGTGTATATAATGCTTACAAATATCAAGACGTAAAAAGAAAAAGTTCACACAATCAATGATGAAGAGTACATTAGCACCTTTCAGTAACACGACAACAAATGAGAACGACGGAATAATACATATATATATATATATACACACATACTGAGAATCTAATAATAATGTGTGATAGAGACATTTTGCGTGCTTCAATGAATAGAATCGATCACACATATATTAATGTATATATGAAAGAGGAAAGAAGGCAGCTTGAGATGTAGAATATAAACAATTGTCGTTGACAATGACGATGATGTTATGCAAGAAAGGACAGCTTGAAAAGAAAACGAAATAGTGTATATATGTTGACTGCTTGATGAAGCCCTAAATTCCATCAGTATCCTTCTAATCTTATTTACTAAATATAACATACGAATCATGATTCTATCGACAGTGCACTCAAATACACACACACATATATATAGTATAGAAATATGATTACCTGTTTCATTTTAAGTAAATCTAAATATGGTCGATGATCATCTTCACTGGCTTTACGTTTTCGAGTTGTATTCGAACGATTTGAAGTGCTTGTTGGTTTATTATGAGTTTTTATTGATTCATCAGATATAAATGAATCAATTTTAACACCGGCCGATGCTGCAGCAGCACGTGTTAATGGTGGCACCGGTTTTTGTTGTATTATTGGTGTTTCTAATGAAAGTTTTTCTGTAAATGATGGGATAACTTCAGTATTATTATTGTTATTATTATTAATATTGTTTGAATTTTTCAATTTAGTACGTGATCTTAAATTATAGGAATTTTGTGTTGAATCTGATGATGGTGGACGTACAGGAACCGGTTTAATAACTTGTATACATTGTTCATTATTATTTATGGAAGATGATATATCTTTATTTAAATTAGATGTTGAACGTGTCGTTTGACGACGAGGTGATGGAGTTTTTTTCATTGTTTCATTTAAATCATTTGTTATATTTGTTGAACTTCTTGTAGTAGGATGATGATTGCTCATCTGAATATAAAAATAGATTTATGTATTATATTGAAAAAGAAAAAAAAACCTAAGATTCATCTATCTGTATATAGGAAATTATTGTTGTTACTGCTATTACTTCTGTAGTTGGGAGGAGTGAATGGTAATGGTGGTAGAGAGAGAGAGAGGGAGAAAAAAGAAAACGAGAGAACGAGAGAAAACGCGAGAAAAAAAAAGAAAAAGATGCAGCAGATTTTCTATGTATATGTGCACGCATGCTGACATTGTAAGTGAGTTACACTGACCCCGATATCAATTTCACAGAAGAGTGTGAACATAAATAAGTATAATCAGAAGTTTTCTTCTTTTTTGCGAAATATTCCAATAATATTATTATTTCAAGTTCAAATAAAAGGATTTACAAACCTTTGTTATTGTAATATGAGTATTTGTTGATATCGATCGTCGTAAATTCATTTGATTTTCTTTGACAAAAAGAAAAAAGGAAGAAAATAGTACCACCAGAGAAGAGATCGTTGTCGTTTTTTTTTCGAGGGTTATGCGTAGTTGGATAGATGGATGAAAAATAAGAAGCAAGTAAAGACGACGACGAAAAGGGCGATGTTACTTGTGTGTGCGAGCACAAACAGAACAGCTGAGCGGTGTGGTGGATGGATTGAGAAAGAAAAAGAACGCAAGGAAGAAAAAGAAGAAAAAAAAAGAAAGAAAAAGAATGTTATATTCGCTATGCAACGACAAATCTCTCTCTCGCTTTTAGTTTTTTTTTACGCCGAGAAGCAATAGTAGCCGCGGGCCGCTATTTGTCAATATACATATGGAAAGAACGCGCTTGTTTCAATAGACAGAAAAAGAGAGAGAGAATTGGCTTCAATTCAACATATATGCATCGTTTGTACGCTTTCTATTTCGCATTAAACTACACGATTATTATGAGGTGCTCACATACATACACTTGAATATCCACCTAGGGGGTCTATTAAAATAGACTATTATTCATATATTGCTATTGTTCATTCGTCTCGTTTTTCAATGTTCATATTCATTATCATTAAACCCTATATGATAAGACATTTTGAATAAAAAGGATATTAAATCTCTCCTTTTCTTTTCAACAGATATGAATATATATATATATGTATATATATTCTAATTGAAATGAAATCATTCATTCATTCATTCATTTCGTCTTTATCCTTAAAATTCGAATAAAGATTACAATGAGAAGAAAAACAACAAAACAAACTAAACAAGATCGTCTGTTCTCACTTTCAATGTCATCAACTGCCAAGGACTCTATAGGAAAGCTTATTATCACTATAGTTTGATCGGTACAAGATGAATAGTACTGCTGTGGACTATCACTTTTCACCGGACAGAAAAAAAAACGAGAAATAACATACAACATATACATATAGAGAGCCTAATTGATGAAGCACAGCATGAGAGATAAACAGCCGTAGTAATAACGACCATATACAGTACACAAAAAAGCTGTTAGAACAATATACATATAGAGAAAAAAAAACAAGAAAGAAGGAACAAAATAATTTTTAAGAAAATTTTATTGGCCATTTTGTTATATTATTTGGATCTCGAAAATTTCCATCAAATAAAAGATCAATCCAATTTGAAAATGTTAATTTTGAAGATGATTCTCCTACTATTTCATTACTATTACTATTATTATTATCATCATCATTATCTATTGGCCAATAGGAAACAAAAAATTTTCGTCGTATATACAATGCAAGAACAGTTGATGATCGAAATCGAATAGATTGTTTATTTTCAATATTATTCGAAAGTTCATTAAGCCATATTGATGATTGTTGACGACGATAAAGAATAGAAAAAACCATACGAGAACTAAAATAAAATTTCAAGATTTCATTATATATATCGAATCGAGATTCCAATTATCATCAAGAGTATTGTTTATTTTATATTAATAACGACTGAGTCTTTCAAGTAATGATATGATTAGACTTTCTCTTGATTAAAATAGAAGATTTGTTTTTTCCTTTTGATACATTAACTAAAGACGAGAGAACTGAATTTCTTCAATCATAATTTAAGTATATTATATGCTGTTCTCTAAATTATTTATGCACAACTGAATAAAGGTCTTCCTTATGATCCATTAGTAAGACATTCCATAAGATCAAATGGTTAAAAGAAATTATTTATGTGTGTTCGTTGTCCAAGAGATAGGCTTAACTCATTCTAGTTTATAAATAAACTTCATTACATATATCAGATCTAACAGTCTTCTATAAATGATGAAATAATGATCTAGTCTTGTTCTTAAGATATAGATAGATAAAGGACATGTATGTCAATGTCGCAAATGTATTTGCTTAGTTTATCGTAAATACCATTGAGTTCTATAAGGAATTAAGACAGCTATAATGATAAAATAGCAAGATGGTTATATAGGTTTACTAATTCACTATTAAACTATGTTCTATAGAGACATATTTGTTATCTTTCCTTTCTCAATCGAACCAAGATAGATAAAAATGAATAGAATTTATTAGGATTATCTCTATATGATAGTAAAGATTTAGAAAATAATAGATATCTTATCGTTGTCTAATTCAATATTAATTAAAAGAGAATTTGCATGAAAATCATACATGCAACAGTGACGTATTTGAATCTATTTATCTATACATACTCTTTAATTAAACGAATTTTTTGTTTAAAATCTTCAACACATTGATCATTGGGCGTATCTGCAATAAGAAGTAATATAATAACATTTGATGCACCTGGTTTCATATAACGTTCAAGTAGAGATTCATCGAAATCATGTATATGAATTTGCCTAAATTTTGAAAAAAATTAAAACGAATTTTATAGACTTTAGTCTTACTTAATTTTGTTCGATTGTTTAGAATTAATTTTTGGTTCTTCTCTTGAATAATATATATAAATAAGAATGATGATTGTTATAAACCAAAACTGATACGTATAAAGATATCCTGATCTAATCGAGAGAGAAAATAATTTATAGAAACGAAGAAAAAAGATATGATTTATATATTTACAAATATCGAAGTATTCCATTTCGTTCAATCCAATAATTCCATACATTTTCAAATTGATCGATTAGTTTAAGAAAAATATTCTTCAAAAAAAAAAGAAAAGAATTATTTTTTATTAGAAAGATTTATATATTTACTTCATTTCTTTGGTCAAAATTAAGTATTGATGGTAAAGTATATTTTTTCGTATTTTGCCAACGATTATCTATTAATAATTTTAAAATATTTTCGGTATTAAATTCATTGAAAGATTTTTCATTAAATTCAATCTTTAGATTTTGAATTTCAACTGTATCATCAGACCATCGACGAACAGCAAGAATCTTTGAAGAAAAAAAAAGAATTAGAAGAATAGATTTCTAATTGTAAGAATACGAATTTACAAGTAATTTTTTCTCATTAGTTTGATAATAAGAAGAAAGAATTCGATTAAATTCTACTTGTTTTGTTGATGATGAATCAATATATGCTATATGAGATTTATGTTTTTGAAATAATTGTTTGGAAAGATGAAGAAATGATGATTGATGTTGAGCAAATAAATTCGAATTGCCGATTATTAAAAAACAAGATCTAAGATAAATAAATAATATTTTTTCTCAGACACAAACCACATGTCAAATAAAAGGTTGTTACTATTAATTCAAGTTCAAATTCACGTCTTACTCGCAGACTTTAGCTCGAAACATTTATACTAATACTATCGAAAATATAACAGATGTTAAAGTATGAACAAATGGATGATACGCGCTTTGGTTTCAAGCTGTTTTGAGATTTGTTTTTCTATTTCTACATTCGTTAGTAAATAGTATAAGTAATTTGAACTATCTGAAGAACATCAGGATAGTTGAACCATGTTAATAAACATTAAAGATATTGAAAAACAATTTATGATATATACCGAGTAATTAACTAATAGCATAACTTTACAGTAGAAGTAGCGCAGGAATTAGTTTAGAATGACTCATTAACATCGACTCTATACTTGTTTTATGAGTTACATAATAACCGCTTAGATTATTACGTTTCAATGATTGTTAAAGAAACCGATATTGCAGAACTTGAAAATAGTCAGAAGGTTCGAAGTCTATAAGGGTTATTATGATACTGTTTCTAGAGACTCGTGAGCGCGCACTGGACATTCGCCAACTGGCAAAAATCTGGCGGTCTATTTAATCTAATCTAAAACTAATCAATATGGTCATACTTCATAGAATTTATTTGACAAACAAGATTGAACACATTAGCACTTGTAATAATTGGTAAATGTAAAATTTGATTTGATTGAAATATATCATGAATATTATTAGATGTAAAGTCATTCTAAATAGATTAATATATTATTGAGTAATTTAATTTTTAATCTACTTACATCTTTAATAATAACATCGGGTTTATTAATATCTTCTTTAAATAATAAAATAGTATCAGATACTTTCGAAATTTGTTTAAAATACGATGGTAATGAATTAGTATTTAACACAGCTATGTAGAAGAAATAAAAATATAGTTTAATGACAGAATGTTTTAATAATATATAACATACTCGAAGGAAGTAAAGCACATTGTATTCTTGTTGAATATTTTAAACATGGTAAAACAAATTTAAGTGTTGGTATTTTTTGTTTCGTTATTAATAGAGCATGTACTCGATTTGTTTGATTTGAAGTTTCGAGTAATTCTAATAGATCATCATAAGTTTCTAACTAAAAATTAGGATATAATATTTTACTATTACAAAATAAAAAAGAAAGAAAATATTTTTACAGTTTGAATAAATCGTTTTATTGGTATTGATTTTCGTACAAATTCTTTAATGCTTGCTTCGGAAATCTGTTGATCATTAAAATGATAAACCCGACCTTGACTTATTACACATAAAGATGGAATGTTTAAAATTCCTAATTCATTACTTAAACGTTCTTCATGTATATTAAATTCAGCAGTACCAATACCTATTAAAACAAGTATAGGAAAAATATTTTCATTTGAAACATCTATCTTGATACTATATTTTCGCTGTAAATCAGAATGAAAGAATTTTTTATTACGATTTCGTAACAGGAGAGACACGAATGTGTTTTAGTCGGTAAATACAAGAAATTAATGGTATTTGAACGTCACATCAAAGACTTATTCAAAAAATCTATAACACCTAATATTTTTAACGAAATACCCATACTTTTCATTGCCTATCGTAGCTGATTCCTTCGTGTATCAAGTAATCTCTCTTTTTTATCGATTTCTTCAATTTCACGGAACTGCATCTGTGCGATGACTACAATCTTTATGAAGAAAAAAATTCGTTGAAAATACAGTCTAAATTAAAAACAAAGTCAGCAGATCAGATGCTAGTCCAAGAGTTTTGGAGCGAACAGTGTACGGTGAATCTCATACATCTTCTTCTAGATATTTTCATTATTAGTTTCTATATTTATTAATAGGACCTGGAGAAAAGTGACAGAGTCTATGACTATATTGTTGCTTTAAACAAATATTTGATGTAAAATATTTGTTCATTGATATCTACATTCAAATGTGTTGAAAGCATTTCATACACCTACTCATAGCTTAAATATACATTCAAATAATATTTATCAATTTCTAAACCTGTAGTTCTTAACAAACTGTATATAAAATAATTATTCAGTGATAAATCTATCCTTTAATCTTCTCTTTCTTCCGACAAGAAGAACTGAGTTCGGATTTAATAATTTTCGATACTACCGATGTTTAATAGAATTTATATGGATTATGTTTTTCTATATGCGTGATTTGGATTACATTAAATTATACTGTACTGAGATAAGTTCTGATAAATCTATTATTTTATTTATTTACGTACCCACATCATTTAATTGTTGTTCCATTGCTCGAAATATTTCTAATGGTCGACGACAATGAAAACAAAAATTTGTACTACCAAATATTAAATAAGGCTTTTGAAAACTATTTGGTAGAATATCATTTAAAAACTCACTAGAAGACAAAATAATAAAAATAAAATGAAACTTGAGAGATAAAATGGAAATTTACTGTGCATGAATAACTTTTCTTGCTTTAGATGATGTTTGATGAAAAAAATGTTCGCGAAATGCATTAAATGGATCATGAAAATGATTTGGATCATAACCTTGACGATTATCTTCCGATGTTGTACCATATTGATCATAATTCTGCCGTTTTTTTGAATCAGATAGAATCTATAAAATAAATTTATTAACAAAATTTCTTGTAAAAATTATTTTACTTCATAGGCATTATTAATCTTTGTAAATTGATCATTTGCATTTGGCTGAGAATTTTTATCAGGATGCCATTGTTTAGCTAATTTTTTATAAGCTTGTCGAATATCTTTATCTGATGCTGTTCGAGATACACCAAGAGCTTCATATGGATTAAAATTACTGTCATTAGCTGATAAATTATAGAAACAAAATATAAAATAAATAATAATATATTTGATTAAACACATATTAATTTAGAAAAGATAATTTATCTAAAAATGTAAGAAATAATTTCATACTAAGAAAATGATGTGGAATGTTGATAGAAATAACAAACTATTTAGAAAACAAAACAGTGATCCATATATATATATTTCATCTTAAACAAAATCTTTACATTCGTTTTATAAGAAAAAAATAACTATTAGCTTTTGTATATAGAAAAATTCATGATGTATTTTTCTTTTTATTCTTTGTTTTTTTCTTTTTCTTTGCTTTTTGTATATCTTGATTTTGTTTTTTAATTTTATCTCGTTCATTTTCATTTAGTAAATTATTATCATTATCAGTAAGAAACATTTTAAAATAAATTCCACCTAATGTTCGTAATTGTCCATTATCAGATTTGATTATTGTTGAATCATCTTTACGTTTATATAATTTAATAGCTTCATGAGCATATTGAAATGCACGTTGACAACCAATTGTATCAAGTATAACACGTAATAGATCTTCATTTTTTTCTTTATTTAATAATTTTGAAAGATTTTTTAAATCACGTCGAGTTGGTTTACGTTTAGATTTTGGTTCGGTTCGTTTTTGTTTTCGTTCAAAATATTCATCGATATTTGTACCTGGTGGAAATACATATGTTAATGGATTTGAACTTTGTTGAGCTATTGGATCATCAATATGAATTATTTCGGAATTATCTGCTAAAGCATTTGACATAATAGAAGAGAGATTCTGTTCTGTTAACATATTTGTCCATGATTGACTAGTTTGTTGTGGTTGACAAGTTGTTTTAGGAAGAATTTCATCATCATCATCATCATCATTATCACTAAATGATGAATCTAATTCACCTTCACTTCGTTCTTCATCATCATCAAGTTTTATACATGTATTATGACGATGATTCTCAATATTCATCTAGAAAAATATGAATAATTATAAATCTTGACGAAAAATTCTTTGCTTCTATTAGTTTTTGATAAGTTAAAATATAGACAATTATTTTAATTAAAATAATAGTTATGCAATTGTAGAAAAAATTACATTAGTTTGAAGTAAAACTTCATTTCTACCAATGATGGTATGCAACGAATTTCTTTCATAATTAAATTCTTTAATTATTGGTTGAAATTAACAACATATCGTTAGTATAGATGACATTAGCTTACGCTTTTCTCAATAGATAATATGTTGACAATAGAAAACGCCATCTTTCTTAATTGTGC